CTTCAATCAATTTGTGATACAATGGAAGAATGTTGGGATCATGATGCTGAAGCACGTCTTTCAGCTTCTTGTGTAATGGAAAGAGTTGCTACATTGAGTAGGACGCTTGTTTTAAATTCGTCGACATTAATACGAGTTGATAATACCAACGAGACTATTACTACTAAGGAATCTAGTATGTAGTTGATTTATGTGTATTATAGTTTTAGTTAAATTGCACAACTATTTTCTGTATCATAATTTTTGCGCATACATTAATGAGGAATGTTTAAATATTATATGATATTTTAATAATTATTTTTTATTTTGTTTTTCTCTTTGTTGTTTATGAGGATCTCTTATTATGTTTTAAAATAATTTAAAAAAAAAATAAATTTAGTTAATCAAATTATTTTCATGATTAGCTAATAAAATTTTGAATAGAAATATTTTTATTAATTTAAAAATAATTTTTTTAAATTATTGTTATTTATTAAACATAATTATAGTCTCAATATAATATTCATCTTTGGGCTATTTATATACAGAATGTTAATATATTTATAGGACATTTTAAAAAATTTATTTTAGAACAGTCAAAAGTTCTTAAAATAAACAAAAGTTAGTATATAAAAATATTTGAAGCTTATTTAAAAGTTATAAAAAGTTTAAGTTCGTATTAAATGAGACAGAGATAGAACTATCTTGTTATTTAAAGAATAAAATAATAAAATAGCTGTCTCACTTCATTTAACGAATATAAAGTGCTTATAATTTAATAAATAAGCTTTAATCAATTATATCAACTTTTGTGTTTTTAGTCTTTAGAATCGACTTTCCAAAGATATTCCATAATAATTAATACTATGCATAAATCATTCATATCATTTAAATTATACAGTTAATATTACTAATAATTACTATTAAATATTATTATTTTTTTATAAATTCAAAGCATTAATAAATCAATTATTCATTAAATTAATTTTTTATTGCATGTTTAAAATTAAGGATTTATGATGAAAAACAGCTTAATTAAACGTTCCTAGATTTTTTATTCTTAAAAATATTTACATTTCATTCATAAATCTCAGTTTATTGAAAAATACAATGCAATTAAAAATATTTCTTTATATTGCAGTATTAATAATGAACATAAATATTGAGATTCTTATTTTTTATTTTTTGTTGAAATAATTATAATTTGTCAAATGATATTATGATGATATTACTATTTTTTTTTTTTAATTTAAAGCAATCTCATTCCTCATTGATGTTAGCAATCGTGCAATGATTGATCAGAAATAACAAAATGAATTACTAGCCAAGTGGACATTCAATGGATAATTTTTATCCATAAGTCTTATCATATGTGAATTGTTACAAAGATAACTCAACAATTTTATACAAAGTACCTGGTAGAAACAGTCAAGTTAACTAATTGGAAGCCATGAGGAATTTATTAGGACTTTTTTACACGAAATGAACTACTTTGATTTTTTGCATTTTAAAGCATAAAATATTTAAGATGACTAATTTATTTCGCGAAATAAGATTTTTTCCATGACTTTTTTTTTATTTAATAACAAAAATGTGAAAAATAAAGATTAATTTATTGAGAATATATTGATACCTATTTTAATTGACAAATATAGATTTTCTAAATTTAATAACTTTCATATTAATTAAATTAAAAATGTATAAAATGTATATTATTAAAATGTACTTTGAATAATCAAAATTGATGTTATATATTGTTCATGGATTAAATTTTATTAAGCCAAGTAAAAGTCTTCCTTATATATTTTATTTTCATTATAACACAGAATTTTATCAAGAAAAGTGATTTTTTAATTATTATACATGACCTAACTTTGAACTAAGTCTTGCATCCAGTGTGTATGCATAGATATATGAGGTCTTGAATATATAATTATTATATATTATTTATATAATTGAAAATATTGAATAAAACAACGCATCTTGTATAAATCAGTTTTCGACAATGTAATTATATTTATACAAATTTCTAGAATTTGTATTGTATAGAAAAAATATTTTCACTAGATTCAGTCTTTAATGTTTTAGATTAAATTGTTTTTATATTATAAATTTTGTTTTAATATCTTATAATTTGATAAATTTTAAAAAATTCATGATATTTTAATCATTCATTAATATTTTTAATGATAAATTGCAATTGGACTATTTTTAATAGAATGGTTATTCAAGGTGCACATTTTAAATATTTTATTTTATTTAAATAATATGTCAATTCTAACAAATGATTTCTTTTACTTGCTCTGAATTATTTTAATTAAATAAAATAAAGATAATTAAAATAATGAAAAAGATTTTTAAATCAAATCTATATTAGTATTTTTTTTATTTCATAAATAGTTAAATTCTTGATTTTAAAATTAAGTTAGTTTTATATAAAAATTGCATATTGCATTACATAAGCTGTGATAATAAATACCAGATTTAAATAAACGATAATAATATTATCGTAACGATAAATAAGGCCTAATTATATTTCAGAAACATTTATCATAATTCATAATTATAATTTCTCAGAGCAGGTAAAAGATAAAGAGGTTATTTTATTTCTTAATATTGGATTTTAGCAGTGCCAAAACGGTAATATATGCACACTTTATAGCTTTGTATATTAATTTGTAGTTAAATAAGATATTGAAATCGATAATATGTATTTATAAATTTTTAACATATAATGTTATAAAATGAAAATTAACCTGTAATTGATAATATTTCTTTCATTTTGTACAACACAAAAAAATTTATATATGATATTCATTTTCATAATACAATATAATTATAATAAGTGAGTAAATAAATTATAGATTATAAAATTTATTAGTTATACTATTTATCTAAAATCTATATTAAAATCAATTATGGGTTAATTACAATACTAGAATTTAATCAATTTTTGGACTTTTACATATCGAGAAGCAGATAACTGCATTCGTAGAGATTTCTTATTTATATGCTGTATATGTCGCAAATTTTGTTTGTAAAAATTGTCTAAAAAATTGTCATAAGAATGTTTTAATCTCATCATTGCTAATTGTTATGTAACTTCGTAATTTAATATAACGTTTTTGCATAAAACGTTAGAAAGCAATGCATTTGGTAGATAAATCAGTCATTAACATAAGACTGAAATACAAATAAAAAATTATGTACAATAATAAAAAAAAATGTTTGCAATTTTATGCTGTATTGAGCACATAATAATTTGAAGAAAGTGCAATGGTGAGGTAATATTTTGAAACATCGTGTACATTAATAATTAATAGATATAAATCATAGATATACAATGTATCGCGTTACATTGCTTATCTTTATTAAATCATATCTTATGAATAAATACAGAAATTAGATTTTAATATTGACAGTACTGCAATGGCATTCCAGTCACATATAACATATATTGTATATTAATGTAAACCAACATTATAATTTTTAATTTTCAAACTAAAAATTCTTATTAGTTTCGTTCAATATAAATCGAAACATTTCATTGACACATGATATTTATCATCATTTCTCATTTAAATTGCAGTATTTTGTTATTTAATTAATATTTTTGAATTTTATTATCTAATTTTATATAATTATTGAAAACTATTATAAAATATAATTTAAAAAATATAATATTAATGCAAAAATTTAAATTCATAATCTTATAAAATATCTGTTAAAAAAACATATTTGTAAATATAATGAATGTTTTTTGTTATTAGTATTAAAGTATCAAAATACTTCCAATATCGTAATTTGTTTCATATTTTATATATATATATATATATATATATATATCATTTAATCGTATTGTTTGCTTTTGGTACTGTTAACATAAAATTTTAAACAATTCATTATTCAGTAAATTTTTAAAATTCAATTATATGGAATTATTTTTATTTTAACTGTATTATATTATAAATAAATTAATCAGATATAATTCATATATTCAGAGATCTGTAAATAGAATTTAGTGAAATGTAAATTTAGAAATAAGACTGTTAAAGAAAAAAATAATTTCTTATAATTTAAATATAATGTGACTCATAGCAATAGAATGTTCCTATGCACATTGGATGTAACTGTTTTCAAAATCATATTATATAGTAACAAATTTTTGTATCGTTGGCTTGACAATTTTTATACCATAAGAATATACGAAAATGTTGCGTTAATGAAATAACAAATGAAATGTATCAATTCTAATAGGAATCATCATTTTCATAAAATTGTATATAAGGAGTGTTAGTTGCAGAAAAAGTTCCTCCAATATGAAACGATCATGGTATCGATCGTAAATATTATAAAAGAGGGAATAAAAAAGCGGTGCTTGAAAAAATAATATAATGTAACATTTTTAGCATCTAATTATGTAGATAACTTTGCCTTTGTTTTGTAATAAAATAGCATTATTTATATATTAGGAATAAAATGAATTACCATTTGTCATACCATTATAACTTTTTATAATAACAATTTATTTTGTTAATAATATATAATATATAACATAATTGCACTACATATAAAGAAAGCATACAAAATAAATTTTAATAAGCAAGATAATTAAGATTAGATCATCAAAGTTTGCAGAAAACAGGAACAAATTTAAAAAACATATTTAATAAATATGAAAATTTTATTTTTATAAAACATATCTAGTAACACCTTTTTTTATTTATTTAGCCGCTTATTAAGTTATAAGTTTTTTTTTTTACATATATCTAATCCTATAAAAATTATTTAATTTGCATAATATTTTAAAATTATTTAAAAAATATTTCAGATTTTAAAAAATTAATATTTTTTCAAACTAGAATTACTTTCTTCTAATTTATACACTTTATGTTTATTATTTATATTCATTTATTTACACTGCATTCATATTCTAAATAAATAAGATGCCTTAAGGAATATACTGTTGTACGGAAGAAATATACAGGAATACAATTACGATCTTAGATTTTATTTGATTATATTGTATGCTTCAGCATACTAAAGAATACATGAAGCAAGTAAAAAAATGTGATTGTTGCGAACCACAAGCACACGATGTAATGATTTATACATCAGATAAAACTAAATGAGATATTTATTAATCGTGCGATGTACGGAATAGATAATAATAAAATATAAGTTAGAAGGTTAAAAATGAAATTCAATGTTATCGTACAATCGCATTAATAAACTTACCTATACTCTATGATCACAGTTACATTCATAATTATTGTAAGTTATTATACGTCATTATCGTCTTTACCATCATTATTATCATATTTTACTGTATATATGTACATTCTGATTATAAATAGATGTATGTTCAATTAA